TATGTTTTCAAGAATATATTTTATAATAAATATATACCCTATATTATTAATAAATTATTATTTTATTTAAAAAATACCAAATATAATTTAATTTTTTAGACAAATTTACTTGGAATACAGTTTAAGGAATAATAAATATATATATTTTAGTTTTGTTATAGTATAATAGCCTTTTTAATAGCAGTATTATAACAATAACATAGCTATAGAGATCCTTTACAGGTTTATAATAATGTTCAACAGATAAGTATAATTTCTACTTCTTTTAGAAACTATTTATAGATAAAATATATGTTTATTAAAGATAAATAAGATAGGCTATCTTTAAGTTTCTATTTTTAAAAAATACTATAATATTATAAGAGAGAATTTAGAGAAGAGAGAAGTCTAAGTCTAAGATGAATGGTAATAAGTCTCTACAGGTCTTAACAGATCTAATGTTAATTTAGAGAAATTTATAGCCTTTTTATATCTTTAAACCTAATTGCTAATTATTGCAGCTAGGTGTAGTTTACTTAGTGCTAAGTGCTAATGTAATTGCTAATTATTAAGTATTAAATGTTAATTATAATCACTAATTGCTAAGTATAATTACTAATTGCTAAGCATAATTGCTAATCACTAAATATAATTGCTAATTATTAATTGCTAAGCATAATTGCTAATTATTAATTGCTAAGTATAATTGTTAATTGTTAATTACTAAGCATTAAGCATTAAGGCTAATCATTATATATGTCTTTTAAATTCTTTTCTAAGATAAATATAATAATAACTAATAATTAATAAAATACAAATATTGAAATAATAAAATAATATTAAGATAAAATAATAAACTCATAAAATAAAACTGTTCTATAACAATTTTATTATTATTAATAGTAATAAGAATATAATTTGTTAGATAATCAGTATTGTTTTATTATAAATATCATAGAAAAGAGTTAATAGTTTGTGATTTTCTTAGTAGAAGAAGGTGGTAATAGATAAGAAATTTGTTGTAATATATTTTTAAATTACAAAAGTTTAATAATATTAATAATGATTTGAATATATATTCTTTTGTAAATATATTTGCTATTTTATGCTTAGTTTTTTTTTATATTAAATGTTAATTTATTAATTATAAACTTTAATTTATAATAATTTTTTAAATCAAAGAATAATAAAAAATCCTCTGAAAGAAATATAGTTTAGTTAAAAATCTCAATTTGTTAAAGGGTTTTTAATTTAACTTGTTTTGAAAAAGTTATAATGATTTAAAGTTTTTATTAATAAAAAGTAAATGCATTTTGATATTTTAGATTATATATAAATATAATTTATTGAATTATATATTTGTATAATATATTAATTAGACGATTTCTATTTGTACATTAGTATATGAAACACAGATATATAGAAAGCCAATCAGGTTACATGATCAGGTGTAACATCAAATTATTGCTTTCTTTAAAAAATCGTTTATAACTCAAAATTTCGCTTATGAAATCATCTTTTTAGTATTAATTAAAAAAATTCCTTGTGAAATTTTGGTATAAGCTATTCATCCTGCCCTGTTCCAAGCCTACCCTTACCCTAACCTTAGATAGTGCTTAACTTTTCATTTATTTAAACTGTTTTGATTTACACATTACACAGATTTGCAAATTAATATCCGTATACAATACACTAGTATACGCTAAGAAATTTTCTATTAATTAAAATAATTTTTATTAATAAAAAACTTGATTTTTGTTTATAATTAAAATAAAAATAGATTTAAAATTAAGCAAAATATAGTTTATACTAAAATTTTATAAGAAAATTTTTTGTTAAATATTAAAAAATGTTTTATAATTAAAATTTTGAGATATTTATATTGATTGTATATATATATTTTGTGTATTAATAGAAATTGTCTATTAATATAATTATTTAATCCAAATATATTAATATTAATAAAAATAATTATATATTTTAAAAAGTAAAAATATTATAAAAATATAGCTTAAATTAATTACAAATTATAAAAACAGTTTTGTTTTAAAGATATTAGTACAAGACTAGTAAAAAAAATTAAAAATTAATATTTAGTAATAGTATTTTTATTTGCTATTTTTGTTTTTGTAATGTTTATTATATTAAAATTACTATTAGTATACTTCTTCTTTCTAGTAATTGTATTTTCTTTTAGTAATTGCTAAAAAAAAATCAAATTTATTAGTTCAGAACAATGAATATTGCTATTTATATCCCTAATTTTGCTATTCGTACTCTTTTTATATCAATAACTAATTTTTATTATAACCATGTTTTGAGTTATATATATTGACTTTATAATATTTGGTTAAATAATATTTTATATAGAAGTGGAGGTATAAGTTTAAGTAACAATCTTCTTGGTTGATCTTTAGTATAGGTGGGCATATATAAATTATTATACAATTATAACATATATAAGTTAATTATTTTGAACTAATTTAAGTAATTTTATAAATTATTAGGGTTAGGGTTAAGGTTAGGATTTAAATTAGCTCAAATTAGTTAAGTTTTATATATTATAATCTTGTAATAATTTATATATGCCCACCTATACTAAAGGAGATCCCTTTTCTTTTGAACTTATAATAAACTTTGTGTAGTAATTTGGTATAATAGAGAAATTTTAATTATACATATTGGTTGAATTAATTTAGGTTGATCCGGATTAGAATCGATTTTAACTCAGTTCATTTTTTTTAAGCTAATCAATCCAGTAATTACAAGTTAAAATACAGCAATTCGGATTCTTATCACATGAAAACTTAAACAAAACTAGATCCAGATTGAATCAGGATCTATTCAATTCCTGTATGTTCAGAACACTATAAATTTATTTTATACGTGTTGGGATTATACGTGTTGGGATCACCATCTAAGCCACCTCAGCATAGCGGTATCGAATGTTTTAACTACACATTGTCACGGGCTAAAAGAGACACATCCGAAAATAAGACAAAACTGTTCGTGATCGAATTAAGATCACGACCATTCAAGGCTTTGAAGAATTCACTTATGACAAATAAGGCTTCTCAATCGTATGATAATTAATGGCGTGAGTGGACAAACGCGAACTTAATAATTAGATGTGGCAGTGTGTTGAGAGAAAGTTAAGTGTCAGACGTAAGATTTCTTGATCAAATCATTAAATACAATAATCGTTATAGTTTTAAAAGCCTCTTTTCTTAAAGAATGTTCAAAAAATCCTGGCTGAGAGAGTAATACAATGATTGTTGTAGATCATATTGAACGAAATTTGATGCTTCTTTTTAAGCCTCTAGAACTCATTTATGCTCATTTATAGCTCTAAGTCCTAACCAAAATTCTAAAAAAATGGACCTCAAAAATTTTACCGCGACGCGTAAATTTCTAATTAAGAAAAATAAAGCAAAACTTCATTTTAAAGCCATAGAGTTTCACTTTTGTAAATTAAAATAATTTGACAAAATTAAAAACCATCAAATTGTAAAGGCTCCAATAAAAGTTTTTACGGCAATTCAGTATGTCCACCTTGTTATTGTATATTGCGTTTCACCCTGTGACTATATATTGAAAGAATTTATACGTATATAGTGTTAATAAAACCGGCAAAAGGTGATTCGAGGAGATTCGATGAGGGGGGGGAGATTTGATGAGGACAAGGAGAATTTTCGTTTAACAATCCTGTTTAGGCTAAAATGCGAAAGAGGGGTACGATTTAAACAAGCATATAGATATACAGTAATGGAATGCAAAAATCTTATCGGTCAATCCAGAATTAAGCTAATTTCAAGGGAAGTTCTCAGAGGTGGAGAACGGTAAACGAATTATGATTCAAGCCGCCTATGTGGTACAAAATCTAGACATTTTGAGGAGATGCATTTTTGTAGAAATGAATAATTTTGAACTCAAATAAATCAAAATAAAACAAAAGATGAACGTATGAACGAATAGATTTCTTTTTATTCAATTAACTATTGCTATAGAAAACCAAAATTATAGGTACGTATGTACTTGGATCAATAGATGACAAGTTTAAAACTCATGATTTGTATTGTCTTAGTTAGGTACATTAGCGTATATTAGCCGTTAATGCGTATAGGTTACATTTAGAAACCTTTTTTTTATGGTATGTATGCGGTAACCGTTTCTATCAAATATCATCACGTAATAGCATTAATTCTTACCATAATGAAATGGAAATTTACAAATGATAAAACGTGTTTTGACACCTTACATACTCGCATATTCATATATTAAAATATATTACATATATTTCACATAATTTCACATAATCGCATATACGTATTACATATCATTATACTTGCATGTCTTACATATGTCACATGACCGAAGGAGTTTGAACGATCAGTTCTGGTACAAAGGTTACCGAATCTATACAATTAATACGCAAATTTAGGAATTTAGGTAAGTAATACGTACGTACGTAAGTACGTATAGGTCAAGTTTTACGTATTAAAGTTAAAAAAAATAAGACTTAATTAAACAAATACATATTTATTTACTTATTTAATTCACACATATCTGATATAAACAAATAAACTCTTTAACCGAAACAAATTATCAGAATTTTTTAAAAGATTAGGCATTTGAACCGAATATAAGATTTTTATCGTTATTCAGGTTATTCAAAATGGGGATAAATCAGGTCCGTGTTTACTCCGATTCAAACTAAACAAAGGATATTACTAAATTATTAAGATCCGTCAATTAACCCAATAATAGACATAAATTCATTTCCTTAAAAAAAAAAAGATTCGTAAAGAAAAATGAGGGTATGTATTAAGGATATATTGATAGCATATTAGGTTCGTAAACTTTATTCTTTTAGGTAAGAGGTTTATTAATTTGAACATACATTTAATGCGAGTGTCATATTCGATGACATATTTCTTTGGTTCTTGTTTATGTTTTTTTTTGATAAACGATTATCAAAGGAAAAAAAATATTGTTTTGTTAAGATAACATTCATTGATTGTATTGATAATATTGATAATATTGATAATATCGATAATTCTTGATACACAAATAAATATGCATGGTAATTGGAGATAGTTTCACGTATAAACTAACTGTTTGGTTCGTTTTGTATAAATAGGAATTTGTGGTTTAACGGTCATATGGGAATTGTTTCAAAGAATGAAGAGTTTTCTTAAAGAAAAGAATTTTTGATTAATTTATGCGTTAAAGAAAAATTAACACAAATGGTTAGTAAAGATAATTAACACAAATACAAATGGTTAGTGTTTGAATGAAAAACAGGTATCGGTATACGATCTCCCGCTTAAATTATCTATCCCCAATATTTTTAACTATAAGTTAATGATATGCGCTCAAGTTAATATTAGTGTATTTCCAAACTTTAGGGTTGTAGAATCTAAATGATAAACAGGTTTTTGATGAATAATTGGAACCAAAAGAATGGAAATGCATGTGGTAAATGCATATCGGTTAATTCTTTATCCTTTTATTTGAAGATGAATGCTAATCAAATAGATAATCTTTAATATTCATGAGTCCATGTATCGACAATGCGATTCTCAGTCCGTGCGCGACGCACTTATCATTTCTCGTCATTCGTTGTAAAAAATCTATGCATTAAGTATGATCTCGTCAATCCTTTTCAATCCTTTTCAGTCCTTTCAATCCTTTCAGTCTTTTTCAGTTAAGGTAAACGTAATATTAATGAAATATATATTAATGTAACATTGATACGTACGTATTAACGATATCAATGAAACATTAATGTAATATCGATTATCGTACGTATGTACGTAATTTTATCAGAATTGAACGCAGTTTCGAAAGAATTCAAATGATCTACTAATGAATTACAAATGAATTACAAAGGAATTACCAATGAATTCTTGTAATAATTGTCTAGGTTGTTCGGAGATGATGAAATGACTGTGGAAATCAAAGCTCAAAACGATCATTATTTTTTCCTTGTACACTAACATTTTTATTCAGTTGAGAACTTTTTTGTAAGATAAAGAAGTATCACAAATAATAAATAAGACCACAAATTTGTGCTACGCTCAAAGTTTTCCCGATATACTCTTCATTACGTATTTTTTTGTGGGACAATTTACCGCGACAATTCAATGAAATTATCCGACAAATTTGGAAATAGATCAGAAAGCTTTTAGAACACAACAACGCCTATTTCCACCAAAACAAGAAATTATTCAGGTATCCCTTGTTTCAATTGCAAATAATTACTAATTCATTTTACCGGATTTTTTTTTTAAAGTGAATAAATCATTCTTACTTTTAACCTAACCTGGCCTTGATCGTAACCATTAAGACCTCCTTGTTTGAAATCAGGCTTTAATGATACGTGACACCTGGATTATCGACATGAAATATGGTAATACGAATTATTATCTAAATTCTCGAAGCCTCTTATTCCGCAATTTTGGTCAATGAATTTGGGTAATTTCATTCTAGGTGATCTATGCCAAAATAAAACAATTTTCCAAGATAGTCAATGACCATTTTGCTTGTGATTAAAGAACTTGAATAGTACAGTAGTAAGTTGAATAGTCAGTTGAATAGTAAGTTGAATAGTAAGTTTCATGTTTCTTGACAAGTGATTCTTAACTGTGCCTTTTTGGCGGTGTTTTCTTTAAAAAAAATTAATTTTTTTTGGTGTTAATATCTTTAAAAATACGTAAAATTGATTGAAACCTGATTTTTAATGCAAGATAATTTTGGCTTGTCATTTAAATTAGGTAAAATACTTAAGGTATTTCTGTAACGTATAGCCATGTACTTCAAAAAAAAAACCTAATTATGTATTTATATATAGATATATTTGTACATATATATATACATATATATATATATATATACAGTATATACATATACATATATGTATATACCGGTATATATATATAGATATATAGTTCATATAATTAACTTATATTTAACTTATAATTAAATATAATTAAATATAATTAACATATAATTAACATATAATTAAATATAGTACGTATATAATATATATATCAGAGAGATATATATATATCAGATATATATTTATATATATCTATATCTACATATACGTATATACATTACGTGTGTTCTTCGTATTTTGTGTTTTTTGTATTTATATTTTTCTAGGTTGATTCAAAATTGTAAACCATATGGTTCCACGATACACCTTTTATAAACCATGTGTGAGAACAATATTTAATACTAGTATATCAAAATTACTTGTTAAGATCTAGTGAAGTGACCTTTTTTTATCCCTCGAAAATTTACTTTGCCCCGGCATTCGGTAAGAGTTTATCTATACCTGAATTTTAAAGGTGATATGCATATAAGTTTGCATGTAAACATAAATAAATCCTTTGAAGGGTTTTCGGGCTAATTGACTTTACCCATATTTAGTTTGGTTTATTCATTTTTTTCTTTTTGATTTTGAATTTTATTTATTTAAGAATAACACGTCACCCAAAACATCACCTTAAAAATATAAATATTTTGTAGGGTTCTTTTTGTTTATCTTCATCTTTAATCCATCAGATCGGAATTGGGAAAATAAGGGGTATATGCTACATGCTATATGCTATATGCGCGAAGAAATGTCACGTTTTCGGAACAACGTTTTTCATTTTTTTCTCTCTCTTATTACTCTTTTTTTTTTCGGTTATTCAATCATTCCAATTTATCTATTCGCTAATTTAGGTAATGCATTTACATTTAAAAAAATGTATCAAAAAAAGTATTTAAAAAAAGAATTTCAAAAGTACTTCATCAAGTCCGTTACACGATGAGTCTTTGACATATTCCGTTCTTGCTGGTATATACATATGTACATATATACATATATATATATATATCTCGGATATGCGCACGCACGATGTACATGTAGTACCGGTTTTGTTAATTTCATTCTTCTCAAGGTTATGCGAGTTTATGACAAAAAAAAAAAAAAATCTATTGTTTTTGTTTTCATTACAAACATTTAGATATTTAGACATTTAGACATTTAAACGTTCAACCATTCAACCATTCAAACATTCCACCATTCAAACATTCAACCATTCAAATATTCAAATATATTCACTTCATGAAGAAAAAAATACGATTGTCATCTAAACAGGGAAAGTTTTACAAAGGGAACTTTTTAGCTAATAAAAATAAAGGTGGGACCTATCCTATTAAAAAGTTTTATTTCGGGTAAAAAAACGGGTAAAACGTAAAAGGTTTATCATTCATTAAAAAGGGAGACAAGTTGATTGACCGATTTGGTAGTAAGAGAAGGGAAAAAAGGGAATGTACATACGATCTTTAGAGACGCATTTTGCAAACAATATGTAATGCTTGCGATGTAATGCTTGTAGATAATGATTATACTGTATATGAAATAATAGATATTTATTTTTATTTTTTTAATTTTTTTTAATTTTTTTTTTTAATTTTTTTATTATATTTTAATTTTTGATTAAATTCTCTAATATATTTTCTAAACTGTAATATATTTAATATATTCTCTAATATATATATTCTCTAATTTTTTTTATATACTTTTTTATTATTTCCATATATAATATTTTTTTCTTAATTTATAAGATTTATCTTGTGGGTAAATTTCATGAAATTCATGTTTATTTCATGTTTATTTCATGTTTATTTTATGTTACTTCATGTCTAGAGTCTAATAAACTTTATGCAGAGACGAGAAAATTTTTTTTAAACGTAAGATGTAGATCATGTATGCTTACTCATTAATAAATGACGGCGATGCCCGAGTAAAATGGATCGCTTCCCCCCGATTTGGGAGTGTTATCGTCATCTATTAGCGGAGAAGAGCTTTCACAACATGGAGCGTGACGACGTCGCCGTAATGCATCAAGAAAATCTACGTTTAACCATTACATAATAGTTTTTTAGAGATCGTCACCTAATCCTAAAAGACGCTCACGTGAGTGGTTTAGAGTGTTACGTTATTCGTTTTGTTTTTTTTTTTTTTTTCGTGATTAGATTACTTCGACGCGTAAATAAATGTTTTGGTAATTTCTGTAATTCTGTAATTGTAATTCTGTAATTGTTAAGTTTTTTTGTTTTCTTTTTTATTTGTTTTTGCATTGTTTGCAAATCTCAAATCTCGTAATTATTTTCCTTATTTTTCTTTATTTTCAAATGTAAATATTTATTTATCAGATGCAGGGGGGAAAAAACTCAATTCTTAACAGTTACTTTTTACTTTGATTCATTTATTTTATTATTTCGATTTCATCATTTCAATTCATCATTTCGATTCCATCATCATTCATTTCATAGTTTCAATTCATCATTTCATTTGAAAATTTAACATTCAAAAAAAAAGTCAAAGAGCAGATGCACGTTAAAGTTGTATATATATTTTTTTTTCGTTGATATTAAGTATTAAGTATTAATAAACAATAGCAAAAAAAAAAAAAAAAAAAAAAATAGAGATTATGAATACAAATAAAAAAAAAATCTTTCGTTTTTTTTGTTTGTGATTTTAATTATATAATATAAACAATCTCATCCAGCATCATTTGCAAATTATTACAATGTATATAAAGGTGGTAGTAAGTAGTAAGTAGTAAATGTATTGTGTATAATGAATGATGTTGGTAATTTTGTAAATGGTTTATAAAGGGTTTGATTTTTTTTTCTCAAGTTTTTTTTTACGCGCTTTGGGTTAATCCCATCATGATTCTCCTTTTTTGTAACCGAAAGTTAGAGAAAGATACGCGAAAAAAAAAAAGGAAAAAAAAAACAAATATGCAAAATACTACGAAAAGAAAAACGAGAACAAATATAATGAACAATAATGTGAAAGAGTATATAAAACTAAAAAGAAAAAAAATATATATATAATACTAGACTAATTTAGGTATGTAAATTGTATATAAAGAAAAAATATATATTCAGATTTAGCCAGAGAAGTGAAATGAAGTTTTTTTTTGAAGCCAGAGAAGTAAAAAAAAGAAAATTAAAAATTGCATTTTTAGCAATTTATACAACCAAGAGAAAAAAAAAAAAAATACAAAGAAGCAGACATAAAAACTTTAAAAGTCATAGGTGAGCGCTCATAAACTCTTTTATATATGTAAAGCCTAAGCTTACATATATAAGCCATAAAAACCCTAATTAGTTTGTTCCTATTAAGCTATATACTATATATATTTTATGTAAAATTACTGTACAGGTTGTTATTATTTTTTTGGATTTTTTGGGGATTTTTTTTTTGGATTTTTTTGGATTTTTTTTTTTTGTTTTGTTTTTATGTAAAGATCAATTCCAAATCTTGCTCAAATTACACTCTTAAACAAAAGAGGAATGAGCCACTGCTGTGTTGGTATCTGTTGGATGTGTTGACATCTGTGGTTGATAAATTGGATGAGTGCTGTATCCACTAAAAGCGGTAGCATTATGTCCGTCTACATGAGCGGTAGCAGTAGGATGGCCATGAATGTTCGTATAGTCAGTAAGATCATAATTGGCAGTTACAGCAAGATTACCGATGCCAGCACCGGCATAAGACATTGTTTGTTGTGGAGTACTAGTGATACCGGCACCACCTCCAATTCCTTGTGCTGGAAGGTAGGGTTGTCCCATAGTTGCATGAGTATAACGAGGTGAACGCATTGGTCGGTATGGCATGCTCGGCATACCACCATACTGATTTACGTCAAAGTAGGGACGACCCATTTCAGTCATGGCAGTCATTGGTTCACGGTATCTACGATTATCATACCATGATGATTCTGGACGATGATAAGGAGTTGGATCACTTGAAGATCTGTTATTACGACTTCGAGAACGATGCTGTTGTTCAGCTTCGGCTGCTCTGAAATCTACAGTCCAGTATGATCCTTTACCTGGCTCATTGATCGGACGTGGAACACGAACAAATGTTTTATTCAAAGACAAATTATGTCTAATTGAATTCTATAACAATTAAATAAATAAATAAATATATATATATGTATATTAGTGATAATATTAATAACTAAAATAATATTAATAACATTAATAATTAAAATAAAATAATATCGATCTTAACGCGTACCTTCCAACCAGTACCGGCGGTCTTATAGTAAGGATAATTCTCCATAACCCAATTGTAAATTTCGTTTAATGTAAGTTGTTTATTGGGAGAATTTGTAATGGCATAAGTAATCAAAGTAGCATAAGAGTATGGTGGTTTTCCAGATACATGTGTTTCAATCACGAGATCTTGAGGATTTTTTGTTGGTGATGTGATCGGAGTAGTCGTAGCCGAGGATTTTCTATTAGCAAAGGCATCCATGGATGTAGCGACTCCCGATGACACATTCGAAGACGTATTGTTGACCTGGGTTGAATTCGATTCAGTCTTTATCGAAGTTTGAGAGTATTGATTGGCATTATACGCGATGGGAGTGTGTGAACCCATCAAACCATTATTATTGCTAGGTCCTGAAACATGAGTTCCAATAGGAGGCAAATGTCGATAATGAGTGTGAGTCTGTTGTGGAGAGGCTTGTTGTTGATGCATCGGTGATGCTTGTTGTTGCGGTTGATGGTGATGGGTTGGTTGATGATGTTGTGGATAAGTATAATTACGACTATTATTATTATTCATGCGTAAATGCCAGTCAGACATTCCTACTAAACTAGAGGTAGTGGTCTCGAGTTCGGTCATAATAAAACGATCTACTAGTTATAAAAGAAATCTATCTGTAAAAATAGATAGAAATTAGTTTTAGTATTTTTTGTTGAAAAAGTGAATTTTTTTTTTTACAATGAATTTATAGTGAATGAAAGTCTGATTAAAAAAATAAAAAATAAAAAAAAATAAATGTGGGAAAAAAAAGAAATAGGGGATAAGATCATATACTGGGAAACCAGGGTAACCATGTCGGCATAAATGATTAGTGAGGTTATCAAATTATGATCAGAAACTAGTATGATCATCATAAAAAACCATAAGAGGGCCTTGATAAAAAAAAACCTCCGTGACTAATGCTAATAAGGGTAATGAAACTGTTGATTTTCTTATCGACAGTTTGTATATTAAAAAAATAAAGTTTATTTTTTTTCGGGTGAAAAAAAAAAAACAAATCATTTTCAAAAACTATTATATCTAATAACTAATAAAACTATCAGCTATCGGTATTTTTTTTTGAAACTTTCTTTTCACTCACGATATATTCAAGTGATACGCGAAGAAAATAAAAAGATACTTTACCACTAACTGAAAAAAATAAAATGATTTTTCGATAACGAGAAAAAAACCGAGTTTCTTTTTTCTCCTAATAAAGGGGAAAATAAAAAGAGAAATTGATTATTATTATTGTTTTTTTTATGTATCGAAAAAAGTTGTGTTTTTTCTTTTTTGTAAACTATGGAAACTATGGAGTGTAAACTATAGAGAGTAAACTATGGAGGTATGGTATATATATACTTTTTTTTTTTTTATTTCTATATCTTTTATTTTATTTATGTAAAGTTTTTTTTTTTTTAAACCGTTATTTATATATATATATATATATATATATATATATATCATATGACAAAAGAAGAAGTGTACATACACGCTAAATTTGCAGAGCCTTCTGGAGAGACAGCAAGTTTAGGGAAAAGAACGATATGAATATAGAATATTTATTTTGTTGACAAAAAACAGATTGGGTAGGCGATTTGTTGAGTCCTTTTATATAAAACTTTTACTGGCCGCAAAGATAATTGAATTGAAATGTACTTAAGGAGAACATTTCAAAAACAGATGGACGATTATGATTGACGAGTTGGTTCAGATTTTATACTTAAAATTTATTATTGTAATTATTGTAATATAAATTTTTGATAACTTCCATTATAAAATCGTAATTCAATAAAGTAAAATATATGTTTATTTTAAAATTTCAAAATAGATTAGAATAACGCATATATTTACTTTAATTGTAACTAATCCAGCTTACAGCTTAGTTACTGTGTGTACTGTATTTACTGTAATGCACATAACATAAAAAAAAAAAAAAAAAAAGAGGGTGAGTGATTAAAATTAAAAATTGGGGATTATTCAGTTATCAGTTGATTTTCATTAAAAATAGTGACTCAAATATTGTTTGATTTTTATATTAGCATACATTAAACTTCGAAGTTCAAAAATGATTGATCCGAAAATTCTTGATATATATTATACGCATACGACACATTGTATATATATTTTTGTTAATTATATATTATGTTAACTATAGTATTAACTATCTATACCTTTATTATAACTGTCGTACAATGACGGTCTGAGTGTGTGTAGGGAACGATTGCCTATATGTTATATGTATTTGATATATTTGATATATTTGATATATTTGATATTTGATATTTGATGAAATAAATAAATACCTGGTGCGTCTTTATCACTAACGAATAAAATTTTATATATCACCAATTTTATCACTTTATGGATTACTTGGGTTTAAAATCGAACAGAGGCACGAACACGCGCACAAGATCCAAAAATTCCGCGCGAAATAACTCTTTTATATCTTGATTATGGCAAGTTCGTCATGTTATATGCTATTTCCTGTTTTCTACTTTTAACTATATTACCCGAATTTATTACCGATATCTATTATCTATTATTCAAATTATAAAATTATGCTTTGATTTCCTTTGTTCCGTGATATGGTAGTGTAGTGATATATAGTGATAATTATGTAACATAAGTAATTTATCACTTTTTCACTCTTCAAACAATATTTATCGCGTCACCCAAGTTATATCATTTGTTTTTCATATTTTTTAAAAAAAAAAGATTTTCGTGCTAAAATCAAAATTAGGTTTTTTTCTTTTCCTCTTTGTCAATTTACCGTACCATGGTTAATGAAGAGTCAAAAAAAGAATTATGTAGTATAACAGTAATGTGTTTTACAAAAAGTAAAGAAAGCCACTTAATCGTTTTATTAAATAAATTCCTTATAAGGGGATCAAATTTGGGCCTTCGTGTTCACCATATGCTTATCGTTATCTGCTTATATTAGTTTTGTGATAGTTCTTTGAGGGTCATTCGGCCTTAACTAAAAAATTAAAGGTCACATTTTCGACTTTGATCATTAAAATCATTAAAATCATTAAAATCATTAAAAAATCATTAAAATCATTAAAAGTTAATAATATCAAATATGAATAAATATGTACGTACGAACGTAGATCGATGTATTCGATGTATTTGATGTATTCTGAATTTTTCAACTCGAGTTTGATCATGCAATTGAATAAATAAGTGAATAATGGTGGATAAATTGAATGATTATTTATTTTATTTGTTATTTTTTTTTTTTTGGATTCAAAACAAAATATCACACAATAATTTCCTTTTGAGTTTCGAGAGATAAATTATATTTATTTTTGGGACTTGAATGTTAGTTTGCTTTTGCTTGTGTGGAACTCATATATGACTTTACTAATAATAATTGAATTTTACATATTTGTTATTAAATAAAAATCAAAAGATCAATACAAGATGATATACATTTTTACAGTACATGCATTTTTCTTCGTCGATATACTGAGTATACTGGTATACTGATATTGAATATGTATACTATACTTGATATTGAATACGTATACTAATATTGAATACACACTGAATATATACTGAATATACTATGATATCAATTATCGTAAGTTGTAAGTTTGTAATTACTGATTTATTGTAATTATTATTTTAAATTCCCCCGGTGACTGGTTATTAAAAGATATCATATGATCTGTATGAAGGGAATTAAGGTTTGAAGAATCACACATCGTAATAGGAAAGTGACATATTAACTTGAATTTTGATACTACCTTGACATTAATTGCACTAAATTACACTAATTGCACTAATTGCACTAGTTGCAGAATTGACAAAATTTGTCCCTTTATTATGAATATATTATGGTTATATTATGATTATATTAGGGTTATATTAGAGTTATATTAGAGTTATATTATGATTATATTATGGATATATTATGGAAAATGCGCGAATTTACCTTCTTGAAAAGTATTTTAACAACCATGCATAAAAATAATTCACAACGTTGTGAAATTCTTAGTTTATCCTAGGTTGGTTATAATTACATGCTTGCAGAAACTTCTTGTATACAAAAAAATGCAGGAAAAAAGAAGCGTTGTTCTATGCTGCTCCATAAAATATGATGATATTCTTAATCATTCATTAAACATGTACTTTCTACTAAAAAATCCGGTGACAATGGATAAAACTTTATTTTTATTTTTATTGCTGAAAATTCCAGCCTGATCGGTTTTTAATATCATATTTTTTTGCGTGACCTTGACAACACCAATAACAACACCAATGAGCTTACCTAAATATACCTAAAATACGATTTATTAAATTATGATTTATAAATGGCAACTAATATGGGTATAGTCATGCAAATGAGGTCAACTACAGTACAAATGTAAAAGGTTGATTAGAGAGGACGAAACAGATAATTTCACACAGAAATTTGGTGATTTTTGTGATTTCCATGATTTCAAAGTATTTCAAATTTTTTTTTTTTAAAAAGGTCATGAAACAAAAACAATCTTCCGATTTCCGAGGTTACGGCGTAAGATTGGACTGGAAAATGTCTGTATCCATTACGTTCACGTTATTTTTTGTGACACGAAGGTCTGGAAAAATATAATAATTTTTTGGAAATGTGGTCAATTTTCTTTGTTTCAATATTATTAATAATATTCAGATACGTATTAAAAGTATTAAAAATTCTTTTATTTGGCGCAGTATAGGTTTTTAATTATTCATTTTAGGATCAAAAAAAAGAATGTTACTCCTTCCGGTCGGTCAATCTATCGCTTTTGACATACCAATTGGTAGATTTGTGAAGTTGTGTGAAATTGTGTGAAATTAAAAATAACGTATATCGATATTATCTCATTACTCTTATTATCATTTATTATCATTTATTATCATTTATTATCATTAATAGATATATATGCAATAAAGTAACAGGACTATGAAGCGTTGTATGGGCTAAAGCCTGAAATGGTATAGTAGAATTCTTGAGTATGCCGGTTTTTTTTTTTTTATAAAGAACCTATAAATTTTTATTTATTAGCATATAAAAAACATAAAGTACTACAATTACTACAATTACTACAATTACTTCAATTACTACAGTTACTACAGTTACCACAGTTACTTATAGATATTACAATTACTAAGTTACTATAGTGTAGACCTTTTTTTCAAAAAAAGTATTTTTTTCGGAATCTTCTAAATCCAATTTAGGCGTTTGATATGGGCGTTATAGTACGCGGGTAAATTTCGGGTCTTGCCGCTTCATAAATGTGGGGTCATAATCTAATTATCGACCAAAAAGTAAATCGTCCACGCGACATAATTTTAAGATGCAACAATGTTAAATTTGTGAAAAGTTTATTTAACTTGCTATATATATATTTTAACTTGCTAAATATAAAAAAAACAAGGTTAGCACAAAATAAATGAAAGTTTCTGTTTTCTGATACGGTATGTATTTCAAGGTTGGAACATTTACACCCTTTTATTTTATTAACATTTTCACTCTCACAAACTTTAACCACTTTTATATACTTTTATATACTTTCATAGGTTTATATACTTTCATAGGTATATTTTTATATACTTTCATAGGTATACTTTTATATACTTTCATAGCATAGCATAGGTTTTAAACTAATATACTAGCATGTTAATAGCATGCACGAAAAGGTTAAACTTTGTAAACACGTGCTGTTTTAATAAAAAATTGATACTAGATAATAAAAGTGAATTGAATATAGTTAAACACTTTACGGATATACCGGTAATTCATAAAGATATAGAATACTGTTGTATAAAAACCCCTGTCGCGATATCGATATAAGTATTTATCTCGGGCATCTTCCGACATATTACGCATTTATTACGCATATATTACGCATATTTTAAATATTAAGGGTTGTGATTATCAATGTGACTTATGTGATGATCGTGATGATTGATTTAATAATAACTTACAGTATTTAACTCTATTTACCGGTAGTTCTTTTTTTATTTTAACAATTACAGATAACCCCAAGTATATATGCGTATATGTAATTCGTTAAAAGAAACAGTAATTCAATTTCATTGTTGTAACTGTTGTAACTGTTGTAGATCTAATAGTAATTTTTTTTTGCACATGATAAATAAATCAAGTAAGCACGCGTGAATTAAACATATTAATGAAATTTATTCCTTTATAAATGAACCAGTTGTGATCAAGGAGATATTCGGACCCCGACCAGCTTATATTCTGAGAATACAGATTAAGTGCTCTAACAATGAATCGAAAAACCAAAATGACAAGCAAACACGAGCTCTAAAAGATCAACAAAATAGCAACAAATTGATGATCTTTACTTACTTGAAGTTTGATGAACCATTCGCATACGAACTATATATTTGGATATTTGAAATATTTGAACTCATTAAATAATATTTAGAAAAGAGCATGTGCGTTGACAAATTTTAAAAGAATCATTGTGATAAAAAAATCACCAAATTTTTGAATGTTTATGTTTGGAAAATTGAAAGGAAAGTTTTGGATAAATATTACGGTATACTTATGTGCATAATATCGAAAGATCGAATTCCGGGGACTGGTTATATTTGTTTATTTGCAATTATGATGATAAAAAAATTTGTCGATAAAATTTATCCTTTGCAGACAAACTTTGAATTTGTTTGTTACTCTCATTAACTATCCGCATGTTTAAATAACATTTTAAAATAGTTAATTCCACACGAGAAAGTTATAATCTTCGATCATACACCGACACAAATACCTTGATTCGGAAACACTCAACCAAATGTCATCTATTTTAGAAACAAATATTCAAGCGATTAATATTAATGTTAATTTAAAATCACATTTTCTTTTCTTTGTATAAATTTAATTGTGAATGTCTTTACATATAAATAATAATAATAATAATAATACTAATAATAAAAATAATAATAAAAATAATAAAAATAATAATACAGTAATAATAATAATAATAATAATAAATGTTATTAATGATATGTTACCGATAGTTTGGCGTGCATCATTACCTTTGAAGGTACTCGGGCTTTTCAATCATTACTTTCTAACTACAAACTACTATAAACTTGTTGACAATAAGTGGTTGATTCGATGACCGTTCCTATTTCCTATTTATGGGCGATCAACTCGTTTTTTTCTAAAAAATCTCGCGAATGACCTATTATCTTGTAATGGAAATGTTATTTATTCATTAATTGCATCTTTTTTTTGATGGGCAAATTACGGTAATGATTGAATTTATCTCTTACAATCAATTAAATCCTGTTAGGGATCATGAATTATAAAAAGATATGTATAAACTAGATGTTTGCTAATATTAGAAACATGGTAATTTTATATAGTTAGTATAATTTAGTACGTAACATTAGTAACATTAGTAACAATTAGTAGCATTAGTAATAATGGTAAGATTTGGTAATATTTGGTAATATTGATAATATTGTTAATAAAAAAGTGACATATTCCCAAATTTAGAATACAACCATGAACGTAAATATTTAAGTGAATTCTTTTTTGCAAGTTAAGCCAACAAGGGGATTCACATACAGTAATCGAATTCGGAAAAGAATAGGGTGGAATAGATTAACCCTATTATGTCTACGTACATACGTATATAATTAAAATTATCTGTTATTATTTAGCTAATAATTATTTAGTTAATTATTTTATTTAAATGGGGCGCTTCAGACATTTAGGGTTGCATATACAGAAAGACTTGAGAATAGTTTAGAATAGTTTACTGGTTTCAATTATTATCAATTATTATCAATTATTATCAATTCATGTATCAATTTGTATCAATTTGTATCAATTAAATCAATTAAAGTAAGTAAGAGAGCAAACAGAGATCTTTATAAAATTTCTTATATATCGCAAATAATACCATCGCCATAACATGGCCATAACATGGCTGTTATAATAAGCCATTCGTGAGGCACATTGCACATTCCATGCTCTAAGCAAAACATTGTAACATACTCGCTAAGCCACCCCAGCATTTGAGTATGTTTGTAAATATTTCTATAAATTTATGGCTTAACATTCAACTTGCTGGCTTGTTAACTTTTTGATGAAAGACGTACTTTATGTGACTATTATATGCTAAAAAAAAATCGTGTATCATCACTTTAGATACACGTAATTCATTATATGCATGTATGCAGATCGGTCCAAATTTTGTTATATTTATATCATTTACATCATTAAAATGCGGGAGAGAAAGAAACAATGAGTATGTTGAACATAAATTAAAACTTTAAAAAAAAAATCGCATACGATATGAAATTCGAAGGTTGCTTCCATGACAAAATGGAATGATAATCTTTATCTTATAATATTCATAATATGTTCAAGTAGAGTAGAACAAGATTTTTTTTTTTTTTTAAAAAAAAAAAGAGATGGTAGAGTAAACATGTTAGCATGTACATTAAAGGCGCATGGAATGCTATGTAGAATTTTTTTTTTCTCTCAAATTCTAGAACTTTAAACCATATATTAATATTAATACATATTATATATATACAGTATTATTTAATTAATTTATAATTTTATAATTTTATAATTTTATAATTTTATAATTTTATAATTTTATAATTTGCTGGGGACATTCCCTATTAAATTGGTAAACTAACGCTAAGAAAATAACTGAAAAAATAAATATCACAAGATTATCGCATACTTCATACATGTGTGCATTAATTTTATTTATTATTATTTACATCTGTGACTTTTGTACGAACATAAATCCTTATCACGAGACGATCAAAATGTATTAAAGGAATTTATGACAGTACTGAAATACTGTATGAACGAAGGAATAGAAGCAAAAGATCGTTCTAAACTAGCAATTTTGATAAGGAGTCGTGCTCGCCGGGCATAATTAACAAAGAAAATTCGAAATTCCAAAATTTCCAAGAATAGCGTGAAGCCGGTCTTATATTCTATGTAAGGTGAATTCCTGAGGCAACCTAAGACATCTAAGACAAAGAAATAACATAAACATTGAATATATATTTGAATAGATTGACATTCTATGATATTACAAGCATTAATATTACGTATTAATATTATGATATTATGTGTGGTATTAATTAACGATATTCATTAATTTTAATAATTTAATAATTTTAATAATTGTAATAATGTTTTAATAATTTTAATGTTAATTGTCCGAATATGAAATATGTTTCAAGCACATAGGATAATCCGTTAGTAACACGCATAATTCATAATTTTTTTCGCGGGAAAAACTTGAATTGGTGGAATCATAAAAAGTCTCTCCTTTGTTCTCTTCGGTTCGTCATTTAAAAGGAAAGGATTTGTTGACCGAATTAATCAAGATCATGAAACCCATATCTCATATTCAGGCAATTCTTTCACCCCATAAATTTTCTCAATCAGTATTTGTGAAATGTAAATCAAGGCAAGAATCAGGAGATAAATTATCAAAGTCGAAAAAATTAATAGCTGTTACCGGTAATAGAAATTTCTAAAGAATTCATCTTTGTACGTTTGTACGTGTATACCTTTGTATCTCGTATATTTTTGTATATCTTGTATATTTTATATATCTTGTACGTATATCTTATATATTTTGTATATCTCGTATATTTTGTATATGTTGTATATTTTGTATATGTTGTATATGTTGTATATTTTATATATCTTGTACGTATATCTTATATATTTTGTATATCTTGTATATTTTGTATTTTATAACTTATACGTACGTATGTTGTATATCTTGTATCTTGTCGCAAAATGTTTTTCCTTTTTACTTTACTGGCCATTAACAACTTACATAAAAATATTATCTTACATGAAACGGTTACAATAATTAATAGAAACTTTACTATTTTGATCGGAAGAATTTATGACAAGCTTAGTCGATCATAAATAATTCTTAAAACTTCATTGAACCAACAGATGAGCGCAAATGCTTACAGAATTTTAATTTACGGGATGATCAAATGGAAAATATTTGAAGATGAAAATCGTCCAAAGAAGGATAAAGAAAATACTGCTAAAAAAAATGTATCCTGTTATATTTACGTTAATTGGTTTGTTTGCTTACACAGAAGATTATCATAATGTAACTGATAAAGTTTGGAGTAACTTTCCCGATTCGTTCAAGGATGACCAATAATTTGCTCTGCAGTGTGATGTATGCTATGTCGGTTGACTCATCCGAATGTTACTCCTTTCAGAAGTGAAAGTATTATAATTTACCAACCACAAGTATTCACAAAGTATCTTGCTTGCACCTTGTTTCCTTCATGTTCAAAGAGAATTCCATTTTATCATTAAAGATTTTCTTACGAAAAATGCATCATTTATTGGTGCTTTTAATTAAGTTATCTGTTATATATGTTTCTGTTATACTGTATATGTTTCTGTTATATATGTTGAATATCGTATATGCAGCATATATGTATACATGCAATGCCAATGCGACAAGAAAAAAAAATTGATAAAATTAAAAAATTTATTTCTTTTTTTGCCATCATATTTACTATGAAAATTTTGCGGGTAACTTTATCAATTTTTTAAGTTACTTTGCAGCAAAATATTTTTTTCGAAATACAAGGATAAGTAGAAATAGCTGCGCCACTGTTAATAAATATTTGATGGACAATCCTTTTTTTTTTTTTTTTTTTAATATAAACAAACTAATACACCGGGTATCAGACCTAACCAAACAAATAAACAAATAATGTCAAAATATCGAGTTTTTTCTGTTCTGCTATTACAGTATTAAAAAAGAAAACAAAAACAAAAAATAAACACATGCAGGGTCTATTTTTCTTAAAAAACAAAGCTAGGTAGAAAAGGATTTCTTTTTTAGTCAAGTTGTTTTAGCATGTACTGTACAAAAATCGATCATTTAAACGCCCATTGTTCTTTCATTTATAGCATTGATTTTGAAATAATCCTAAAGTCAATAACCATGTTACGATTCTATTAATATTAAACATATTACGATTTTATTAAACATGTTACAATTTAACATGTTACGATTTTATTAAACATGTTACGATTTTATCTTGGTTTGTAATAATACAATTGGTACGTAAATTTGATTATAAAACTGGAAATTGGAAACTGGTAATAAAATTAATTCCTACCAAGGAGTGATGTTAGTGAATTTAGTGAATTTATTGAATTTAATGAATTTATTTAATTTAATGAATTTATTGAATTTATTGAATTTAATTATTGAATTTAGTGAGTTTACGAATAAAAAAAACCGATACATTTTTACCGGAATAAAAGATGTTAACTTATTTAATCTATCAGTTGGTCAGGTTAGGACCCCTTGAAGATCTTTTGAAGATTTTTGAAGATTTTTGAAGATTCTGAAAGATAATTTTACCTTTTTGTCTTTTCATTAGATTTGTTTTGGTGTATGCTACGACAATCCTGCGGGAAGAATTTGTGACCCGGTAAAAAATTTGTAATTTAATTTAATTAAATGCTATCAGCAGAACCATCAGCAAAATAATCAACAGAATCATCAACAGAATCATCAACAGAATCATCGACAGAACTGTCAGCAGAATCATCAACCGAACCAATTATGGAAAACATCCTTGGTTTGATACGTCATTTTAATAATATAAAAAAAATTGAAATTGTTTTGTAATCGTTTTATATTAATTTATAACCATGAATAAATATATCGTAGAAATTTCTTTAGAAAGAGTTTTAATTTGTGCATAAATAAATGAAATTATCAATTGCGAGAAATTTGAGTAATTTGAGTAGTTTGAATAATTTGAAACAATTCGGATTCGCGGGAGGATATATGCTATCGTAATTCCGAAATCAATTAAATCAATTGTTATGTAATGAGCATAAATAAACTTCAATACTTTAAATTATTGGCATTTAATAATATATATCAATTAATTCCAAATATAGTAGCGTACGTTTCCTTTTTGGTTAAATAGGGGTTAAAATACTTTAGATGCTTGCTGATACTTTACTTGATTAAGATAATCCATTTAACGGAATGGGTTAGCGAAATAGGGTTAGTACAAAAGGCCCTATTTCTTAACCCCTTACAAATTGCACCCCTTTTGTCGTTTTATCGTCGTTCACCGGTGCATTGTGCCACTAATCTAGGGTAACTTTGTTTTAGGTTGTACATAAACCAAGAATGACCCCATGTGACTTGACTATGTGGGACAATGGGTCTAGATTTAAACGATTTTCCTATATTCGATAAATAAGAACTTATCATAGTATGTTGTAATTACACAACCCCAGTAAAGAGATAAAGAAATTTTTTTGTGTCGAGGTGTCTCTGAATTAATTTCAAATAATTTCAAATAGCATTGCAAATAGCGTTTCAAATCTCAAAATAACATTTCAAATAACATTTTTCAAATAACATTTCAAAATAACATTTCAAATAATTCAAATAGCATCTCAAATATAATTACAAATAGAATTAACAAATAGAATTAAAATATAATTACAAATAGAATTAAAATATAATTAAGATAGAATTAAAATAGAATTAAAATAGAATTAAATAGAATTAAAATAGAATTAAAATAGAATTAAATAGAATTAAAATAGAATTAAATAGAAATTAAATAGAATTGAATAGAATTTCAGATAACAAAAAAAAAAAAAAACGACTCAAACCTTACAAGCCTGACTGGAGTTGTTAACGCGTGGGCATGCGTGTTTTCTTTTGATCTACTATTTATATTCATGATCCACTTCGATATTTTTGCCACGTTTCCCTTCCTGTCTATTTTCCTAAAAGAGCCCCTATCTGATTGTAATTCAATTTGATTCGTACTCGGATTCGTACTCGGAACCCAACCATGTGAAAGTTCACTTTTTATTAATATTCCAAAAACGGTGTTCACAAATCTTCCCACAACCCAACTAGATACCCGTTCTGCTCGCAGAAACTATAATTTTATGTAATATGATTTTGCACCAATAAAAAAAAATGTATATTAATCCTTTGAGATAACAGGTTACATATTATCGCGTCACAGATATTGAAGATAGTAGGTATAGATCAAATTCGCACGACAAAAGATAACATACCGATACTTTTTCAATGCTCTTATAATTTGTCATTTTCTGCAGGGGAATCGAACCTTCTCGTTTAACACGTACAGCAGTGATGTAAAATGAATGATGACTAGCTTTTTCGGGTTATATTGCTCTACTGACTAGTAATCGACAAGTAATCGACTAGTAATCGACAAGTAATCGAATAGTAATCGACAAGTAATCGAATAGTAATCGACAAGTAATCGAATAGTAATCGACTAGTAATTGACTAGTAATTGACTAGTAATTGACTAGTAACTACCGGTTATCGTGCATGCTCTTTTGATATGCACTCATTGTATCAAATTTTTTCTCGTATTATCATTATTGTTTTCTTAAAATATACTCTTCCAAATATTTACTAATATCACGATACATTCTTTTTTTTTTTCTTTGCTTGTTAAGTGCATACCAATAATAAAACATGATTACAAATATTCTGATTAAAAAAACATCGTGAGCTCAAGTTTACATAACATATGCACAAAAAAAAAATACCCCGACCACAAACTGACCTATTACGGAACCTCATTTTGAACTTTATATCCTAAACGTCAAAACATAAATCCACTTCCAAATAAAAGCAAATATCAATTTTTAAGATACTAAACAAAATATACACAAAATAACTCAAATAATCTAAGCAAATAAAATAATAATAAAGTATCGTGCATGTACATGATCTTAAAACTTGAATTGCCAACAATAATAAAACCTCGGTTGATTTTAAAAGCTTGGTTGAAACTATTTTTTCTAATAAAATTGTATTCAACCTTTTATAATATATAATAATACTATAAAAGGCGCATTGTAATTCTTTTTATTTCTCCATTTTCTTTATGTTGTGTAAATTTCATTCGTACGTACGTACGTAGCTAGAATTTTAAATTCATTGATATATTAAAAATTTTCAATGTTTCACCAAGATAGCCCAATTCTCCCGAGTTATGATTTTACCATCCGTTTTTTTTTATTTCTGCGATTAAACCATTTGTTCTTTCAAAAATACGACCGTTGTACAATTCATGGCGCCTTTATTATTAAGACTTTTTGAGAACCAAGAATCGGATTTTAAGAACTTTGGTGTAACCAAGAGCGGATTAAAGTTAATGACCAGTTCAGAGTCCGTACCCGAATAATAAAAAAGGGTCACCTGTTAAATTCATGGGTTACACCATTGAATCTTCCCGCCAATTTTTAAAAAGCGCTCAAACCCATGGAGATATTTCGAAAATTCTTTAGTACATGTTTGTTTTGTCCCTTTATTCGGTGTTACTAGATGCATGATAAGAAATGATAAGAGATAAAACTGTCATATTAATTCGTGGTACAAATAATTAACAAATCTAGGACGATTGTGTAATTCTTTTGTAGTACGTTATTGATCGGTTTTTTCCGGATCTAGTTTTGATTGGTTTTAATTATATTGCTTCTTTTTTTGTACGTCGAATTTCCATAGAGATGGTAATTCTGTTGCTATTGTCGGGACTTTATCTCTCGATACACTCACTCACTCATAATGCTGTAATGATACACTCACTCATAATGATACACACGAAATCCAACACTATATGAAATCCAAAACTATATTTCAATCTTGTTTCCATAAAAAAAAACCTGTGTTCGATTCCATTTACTTTTGTTATTACTGTTATTGCTATTGTTATTACTATTGTTACAATACACCTAATCCATTTAGAGGTTGATTGAATTCCTCATTTACCGGTAGTTTAACGCGAGGTTATCTTTAACGTTATCTTTATCATTCATAATAATGTCACTAATTGAGATTTCGTCATTTATTTGATTATTGACTGTATCGACTGTAACAACTCATTTAATGTTTGACAAAACCTTAACCGCGAAGTCATCCAACCTTTCGCGTATATGAAATCTTTATTTATCAAATGTATCAAATGAGGATATATATATTTTTACTATAAAATTCCTATCTTGGTAACTTGGTAATTATTAGATTAGATAACAAAATTAATTCAAAATCGTGACGCGTATTTTATATTACTATAAAAATTACCTTATTTGTGTAAGACTTTTTTGTCAGAAAACGAATTAAATCAATTTATTCAAATATTTGTTCAAAATCTTGAATGAATTATTACAGCCACAATTCCAGAGCCAAAGTGAATACTCATTCCCGAAAATCCTGATCATGATCAAATTAGGGTTATGTCAGGAATGTCAAGATTTTCAAGAAATTAACGATCGAGAATCATCGGTTATGATCGAATTTTGCTAATACAAGTAAAGTATGTCTGGACAAGATTCTTTCTTTAAAAATACATTTAATTAATTTAATAATAGAATTTTAATAATAGAAATTACGTGGTAAGATGATATAATCCTTATAAATAGATTAACCCACCCCAAAAAAAAGTTAAATTAGCGTTTATATAAATTATTATATGTGATTATTAAAGTATTAACCTTCTTTCAATTTATTTATTAATTGATTTATTTTTAATTTACATGTATCTGATTTATTTTTTATCTTTTAAAAAAAGAAAACAACTCAACAGCGACTTTACTGTATAAAAAACAAAAGTCAATTACTACATTCGATTATCCGAACACAATTTTTTTTTATGATTTGTATATTTTTAATATTTTTACGTATCTCAATATTATCTGACAAAAAACTTTAGTAGTAAAGATAACAAAAATAACACAAGCGCATATATGATCATATATGCGTTAAGTGATATTAACTGATACGTTCTAAGTAAGGTTAAGTTACCCCAGAATAACCATACGAATCCAAAGCCTAACCCTAAAATCTAACTCTAAAATCTTACCCTAATACGAGAAAATTTTTACAGATTCAAAAATATCAAAATATCATGCATACGCGATAATCAGGTTGAATCTTTATAATTACGTAATTCTGTAATTCCATAATTCCATAATATTCAGAGTCGTTTCAGAATTTCCCCCAAAGAAAGTAGTCAAAATCAATAATGATGACGATAACGATAAAAAGTTATTCTAGTGCCGCCTATGAAAAAAATGTAGCTGACATAATAGATCGTCATGTGATAGATATCAAATCTTTACCGGAAATACTAATAATAGAACATTCGCAAATTTTAAAGATTCTGAATATTTATTTAATCCTTATCAGTTATCGTTATCGATATGTTTGATTCGGAGTTTTAATTACGACGTAATCTATATTTTTTTTATTTAGCAGTGAATTGGTAACAGAATAATTGTGCCACAAATATCGAGAAGGACAGAGACGGCCGGGCACGTGACTCGCCAACATACGCCACAAAACTTCCCGCCAAAAACTTGTCTGCACAGACAACATTTCTAAAAATCAAAAAAGAATTCTGAATGCAACAGAAAATTACATGCATGAATCATAATTCTAAAAACGCCATACATTACGCTTTTTATCTCAGGAATTTTATTTAGTGGTACCTTTTACCATAATTAAAGTCATGCATCTTTACATTCGCCTTTTTCAGATATATATTTTTTTATTTCAT